GTGAAATGCACGTAACACGTGCGACGTTTTCACATGAACAAGAGCATGAAATGGCACTGAATAAAATTAAAAAACAGATATGAATATATATTTGGGGCATAATGTGTCTCTTCATAAACAGCCTTCTGTAGAAAGCGAAGTGTTGTTCTTCTTTAGTATTTCCATGTGGAAAACGTGGATGCATTTGTGGGACTGCATTTTTCAGCAGTGGCACACGCATAGTTTGGCTTCGTAGCCTTCCCTTCATAGCCAAGAAAAGTTGTCCGTGAGTATAGCAGCTGCAATACCGTCTAAGTGGAGCTCGTTGTGCACCACTTTTCTCAATGAAAAATGGGGCGTTTTTCAAAATCCTCGAATTTAAGCCGACCATGGAATTTGATACAAAGAAATTAAAAAAAAAAAAAAACTATAGGCCTAGATGCGAATAAATACGGTATTCTAAATGTTTGCTGTGCCCGACCCTTGGTGGAATGCCCTTGCATTCAGAGGAAACCCATGACGGGCTTGTTATAGCCTCGAAGTTTGATGGCACCACCCCTTTAACTTAAGTGCGGGTGTTCCTTTTTCACCAGACCTTTAGCAAGGGCCTCTCTACATTGCATGTTTTTAGTGCCTTCATAAACAGCCATAATCACCCCTGAGTCTGTGAACCTGAAGCTTTAAGTAGGCAGAGAGACAACACATGTCCTGTTTTCTCCCATGTGTTTAATTGTCCATGGTTTAATTGTAATGTGTTTAGTTGCCCACTCATTTTTCAGGTAATATGCTTGTGTGAAATATATATATATATATTTCCTGATGAAGGCCAGACTCTAAGCCGAAACGTCGAAATAAACCACGTTGTGACCGCTCACGGAGGATCTACTGGACTATATATATATATATATATATATATATATATATATATATATATGCTTTATTGGCAGAGGGGGTGCTTACAATTACATGTAATATAGTTTATTTAGAAGAAAAAGCTTAAGCAGGAACTATCGCTAGGTCTTTTGTATTTGTCAAAAGGTTAATATAAATAAAGACCCAGGAGCTGCATGAACTGATCAAAGGCTATTCTTTTTGTATTTTTTGCCGTGTTGGATGTGAAACATTTTTTTTGGTAGTGGTTTTAAGAAACTGAAGCCTAAGTTTTGGCTTAATGGAAAAAACAATACTTGTTTCGGTCGATGCCCGCTAGAACCCCACTGTTAGTTTCCTCGCTGCTGCATTTTCCCACCTGTTACGTTCTTTTCGGCCGGTACCAACATTGCTTCTATACGATTTATTGTATTGGAAACCCCACTGTTATGTCGCAACTGTCTCATGATACATCATGAATTTCACTTTGTGCTATTACACAGCTTGGACTGGCCTGACCGTAAAATAGTTGTGGGACTGGCACCAGCATACCTGCCAACACTCCCGAATTGTCCGGGAGACTCCCGAGTTTCCACCTAATCTCCCAATTGTACGAATGCAATGTTGGGTCTCCCAAAAAGCAGCTGCCGCAGGAGAGGCATTTTTCTTTTTTTTCTCAATCATGTGCGTTCATCATCCTTTCCTTCTGCAACAGTTGCGATGCTGTAGAAGAGCACTGACCACTACACTCATGGTAACTGTTCTGTAGAGTACCACTAACCATATTTTCGGTACTAAGTACGGTGCATCTGGACGAAGGCCGCCGTGAGACTCACTCGCCACCGCACCGAAAGAAGACGGGAGAACAAGTACCACAACTTGTGCGTTTGTCTTGGCCCCCGCATTTCGTACGCTACACTTACGTCACTTGTCTAGACATCAGTTGTGTTTGTTACAGGGTTGTGAGGGTTGTGTGTTTTCCTGTGTTCAGTTGGAAGGTTGTTAGTGATGTCCAAAGCAAAGAAGAAGTACTTGCAAGTGTCTCGGAACTCATACACAGCTGAGTTTCCGTGCTTTATGACTTCGCCGAAAGGTCACTTGTATGTGGGTTATGAACCATGGGCTAATGATGTAAGCGTTTCGCACGGTGGCAAGGCTGACATAAATGTGCATATTCTTTCACAGAAGCATCAAAGCTACATTTGTACTAAGGAAGGGCAGCGCAATATCCGCAGTTTCTTCCAAAACAGCTGCGTTGACAGACCGATTTGTGCAGAGCACCTGTACACAGCTTGCCCCGTCAATGATGAATCATGCGGGCTGTTTAGAAAAAATGTTCCTGAAGTGCGAGGATGCGAAACGATATGAGTGCGGACGTACGAAAACAAGTGCTATCGTCAGAGAATAGCTCCACATGCCGAAAACACAATTGCGGTGCGACGCCGTGCTTTCGCAATCGCAGTGGACTGAAGCAACGACAGCGGATCACAAATGTTCCCAATTGTGGCGATGTACTATGTCGTTTCTCATGATGAGGGAAGTAAGCAGCTCAATATAAACATCCGTCCCCCTTTCTGGTGGGAGTCTTCTGTCTCTGTAATTTACTATATGCAACTTCCCCACCCACTGCTGTCTTCCGAATTTTCATGCTGCTAGGTTGGCAGGTATGCACAAGTGACACTCATAATGTACTTCTGGTTGCCGCAAACGTTAGCATAGCTTTTGAGATTAGCATTGCAAAGCTGGCGTGTATGATGTAATTGGTCTTAAACATTGTTTTAAACCTGTTTTAATTTGAGTCATAAAGATAAGACCTTCAAAATTTGCATGTGCTTCCACCATTGCATTGGTGTGGGCTCATCATTCTTATTTATTGGAGGAGTTCGTGCGAGTTGCGCGTGTGCTTGGTTCTTTCACGTCTACAATTGTTGGTGCCTAAAAAACCATGTACGTTTATTACATTTTTTAGAATGACACCTTTCTCAGCTTCATAGTTCAATCTGTGGGCTAGATCACAGCAGAGTGCGGCAGTGAGTGCACTAGTGGCGACGTTTAGGAGTTGGTGGTTGGCAGGGGTGACTTTTTAACGATCGTTTTCGGAGGTACTCTCACTTTCAAAAGGCTACCTGCAGTATGACGGACCATGGTGGTCCTACGCTATGTTAAGAGGGCTACATTATTGCTTGGAGACACTGACGCATTTGGGGACAGTGGCGTGAAGGCGTCACCAGAAGTGATTGCTTGTCAGGTGTCGGCCAGAATGAGAGAAGCTGAAGAAAAATATAGAAGCATACTATAGCCTGAGGAAAGACTGGCTTAAGTTTTGCTGTTTAAAGTGTTTGCAAAGTGGAGCTGGCTGGAATTATGAGATTGCAGGATAGTTCGTTGCATGACACATTTCCTCACTCCTGACTCGTTTGTAGGGGTGACTAATGCATTTATTGGTTAGCTCAGTGAACGAGTAAAATGTGGTTTGGATGAGTAAACAGAGGTAAATTGATTAAAAACACCTTAAAGTGTAACGGAAACTGGGAAATTCGGAAATATAGCACTTAAGTTTTAGCAGTTGAATGGAAACTGCTCTGTAGTTTCAGTTTCACCAAATTAATGATTTGTGAAACTGAGGTTGTGATGGAATGTTGTGCGAAAACACCTCCCAAAAAATACAAGTTTCGAGCTCCAGAAATTATACCTATTCAGACTTTGAAAAGTGCTGAGAAGCAAGAGAGTTAAATTTCTGAATCACCCTGTTTTATGTCCACTGCCTGATGAAGGCACCTCTTTCAATGATGCCAACTTTATACTGCATCCTTTAAAGATTTTATCGCTGTGACCATTAAATTTTGTCGTTCCATCTAATTTTGTTGTCCTCGACTGCATTTTTCATCCCTTTGTAACCAATCTGTTGCTCTGGCTGACCACCTATTGTTGTCTCACCTACGCATTATGTGGCCAGCCCAAGTACATGAGTACTATTTAAGTTATTGAAATGCCGAGCAAGTGCCCCCTTCTTTTCTTGGGAGATCTGAAATAAGCGCCAATGACCAGTCCATCACCGAGCAAGCGTCCTCCCCCAATTTTTGTCAAAATATCCTCCATCGTAGGGGTTTGTGCTTGTAAATAATTGAATGGTAGTACTAGTGTACTTGGGCTAGCCATCTTTAAACATCAAAATTATCATAGCAATAGAGTGCGATTAGTGCACATTTGCTTCAGTAAATTTCTAATGAGTAAACTTGGTCACCACCACTTTTGAAATAAAAGAGAGAAAAAAAAAGGGGTAACTTTGGATAATAAAAAAACATCTACTGTTTATAAATATGCCTGCAGCAGCATTGCTAACAAACCATGCAGCAAGCTAATGCTGTGTAGCGGGTGATAATGTTGCAGTGCTTTAGTGAAGAAATCGTATTCAAAGCTATAAAGATATAACAATCTTACATGCTAAAGTAGTAGTAACAGAGCTGCACCATGTGTTTCTGTTATTTTTTAGTCAAGGCAACTTGAGTGCAATTCATTGTTTTCATGTGATTGCTGCAGGCCCTCCTGGTTTCTATAAGCCCTCCTTAGAGAACTGCTATAAGTGGCTGCCTTCAGTCAATGGCGTGTAGTAGTATTTTGCTAGAATGAACCATGTGTAAATAAACTTGGAAATTTCGACATCTCAGCAAGCTGATTTTGTGTGCTTCATTGTACGGTTCAGCTGCCACCTCTCCTCCTCCTTTATTTTTGCTTGCAGATTTGCACATTGTACTGCTTCAGATATGTGTAATTTGTGGAAATTTCGTACCAAAATTTTTCATATTTCAGTGCTGCGTACATGCTTACTTCATACTGTACGTGATATCACGTTTTAAAGGTGATAATTGCACTCTTTATATGTCCTTTAGAATTTTGTTCACTCCTTGAGAAAAAGGAGAAATGCAAGGCCAGGTCAGCTCACTTGCTTTACAGACTTCTACAAGCATGATCATTGTAGTAGGTGACATCTGTGGTACTGTGTTTTAAATTTTAAAAGCTAACACCTTCTCTAATAGTGGTTTCTCATAGATATGAGTTGGTACGTGTTATGCTTTTGAAAACTTGATAACAAGCAAACAGGCAAAATTACTAATGTGTTCTTGCCTGTAAATTTTTTTCCCTCTTTACAGGTCAAGCAGGATCCTCGTTTTGATGCGAGGGCTGGAGATTACAATGAGAGAGCCTTTAGGGAAAGCTACTCATTTGTAAACGATATACGATCAAGAGAGAGGCAGGAGCTGGTCAAGATGGTTCAAGAAGAAAAGGATCTCCAGCAGCGTATGAAATTGAAAGGACTTCTACAAAAGATGGTTTGTATTTTGTCTCTAGCTAATAGTATGTCATAAGGTTGTGTTTTACTATTGTTATTAGTATTTTTTACTGCCCCGCCGCGGTGGTCTAGTGGCTAAGGTACTCGGCTGCTGACCCGCAGGTCGCGGGTTAGAATTCTGGCTGCGGCGGCTGCATTTCCGATGGAGGCGGAAATGTTGTAGGCCCGTGTGCTCAGATTTGGGTGCATGTTAAAGAACCCCAGGTGGTCGAAATTTCTGGAGCCCTCCACTACGGGGTCTCTCATAATCATATAGTGGTTTTGGGATGTTAAACCCCACATATCAATCAAGTATTTTTTACTATTTTTTTTGGTAAGCCCAAACTTTAGCCGTTTTCATTTGTATTGAAATTTTATATTTATAGTGAGGTGGCTAGATCACAAGAAAATCCTTATTAGAAGATGTAGACTAATCACTATTGTAACCATTGCAAAACACAAAGCATTTTGCAATGTTAGCATGCTATCGGTCCAGGTCTTGCGTTTTGCAAAATGGTGCAAGATTAATGGCCAGGCAACAACTTTATGGTAAGAATGGCGATAATGTTACTTATGTACTTAATGAAATGTTACAACCATTATAACTTGTGTAGATACCAAAGACGCTGGTGTGATATCTCTTAGTGTCTCCTAATTCTAGGTGTTGTAGGAAGAAGGCGGAAACTCGCTTGTTTGAAAAAAGCTATTCATTGCTATGTGACTGAACACATGCATCACTTGTGTGAAAATGCTGGCTTACAGATTACTGTTATTTTGCACCCTATCCATCTGTGGCCTAAAGACTAAAACATCGGTTGGTAAAGAATGCTGGTTGAAATAATCCCGATATACCTACTGCCATGGTGTTATATGCATCAGAGTAAACTTTTTGCATTGAAGATGCCCTTCATGAGGCAAGAAGAGAAACTATGCACAATGCTTCATAAAGGCAAAATATGCTTTGCCTTGACATTGCACCTATGTATTGTATGCAAGACCACTTTTGTCAGCAGTCACTTTAAGTACACAAAACATAGTGTGCGGTTCGTCAAAGTGAAGAGGTAGCAACCGCAAATAATAACTCACTCTTTCATATTTACGTAAACATTGGAGATCATCTTAGTATTAAAAATTTGTCGATGCCATATTTACGTAAACATTCCAGATCATCTTAGTATTAGAAAGCAGCTGATGCCACTACTGTGATACTAAAACCAGGGATAATTGCTTGCTTATCCGATAAAAGGTAAAAGGTGCTTATCCGTTAAAATTTGTAGCTTAGTGCAATGAAATTTGCCTAATAAATTTTTATGCTGATTTCAATATGTCATCAGTTATAAGTTGCAGAGGTTTCATTCTGTAACATGACAATGTGTCAGATGTAATTCTTTTTGAACTAACTATTTCTGGCACCAAACTTTGATGATAATGAGCTACAGTTGAGCCGAACTCGCCTATAACGAACCTGAGCCTGACGCGGCATTCATGCGCTGTATCCCAAAGTTCGTAGTAAGTGAAACACGGCTTTTAAAAAAAGTTGCAAGCGAAAACACAAAATTTTTTATCCAAAAAAGTCCGTGATGCATTTTTTTTGAAGAGCAGAAGTGATAAGGGCGGTCCTGAGTTTATTTCAAGCGGCAGCACGCTCTTCGCCGAGGCCCGTGGCATAAGCTGCATAAGGCACTGGCTCCAAAGTTTCCTCGTTCTCGCAATCCGATTCCTCCAAATTGCTCTTGCCGCATACTTCATTCACAATGCCGCCCTGCCGCGGTGGTCTAGTGGCTAAGGTACTCGGCTGCTGACCCGCAGATCGCGGGATCGAATCTTGGCTGCGGCGGCTGCATTTCCAATGGAGGCGTAAGTGTTGTAGGCCCTGTGCTCAGATTTGGGTGCACGTCAGAGAACCCCAGGTGGTCAAAATTTCCGGAGCCCTCCACTGCGGCGCCTCTCATAATGATATGGTGGTTTTGGGACGTTAAACCCCACATATCAATCAATCATTCACAATGCCCTAATCCGTGCACGATGCCGCTGTGTTGGTATCATCATCAGGTGTAATGAAACCATCGCAACAGATGTCCCATTCGCTCTCCCATGTCAAAGTCCATGACACACTGCCACAAATCGCCACCAGAGTGGTTATGTTTGGAAGCTTCAGGCTCGGTATCGGGCCCAACGTCGACGAAGTCGGCCTCGCGAAAACAGTATTGCACGTATGTAGCTTAGGGTGCCTCGATGCGCGCGCCCCCGCTCAGGGTGCCGCCACCTTTTGTACTGCTTCATCCGTCATTGAAGTGCCTCATCCGTCATTGTAGTGCTTCATCCGTCATTGTAGCTGTAGAGCTCGCGTGCCGACTTTCTTCGGCATTTTTTGCCCAGATGTTGAGTTTGTCAGGGCCACAATATTTCGCGTTAAGCTAGTGGGCCACTACGCGCCAAAACAAAACCTGTATGCAGCAGGAGTGACAATGGCGGCCTCCGCAGATGTCTTCACTCTGAGTGGAGAAGCGGGCATCGAGGCACTCTAATGTAGCTGTCACCCCCGCCCCTGAAATGTGCACCATCTTCACAGCTGAATACCGCAACACCCAAAGCGGCACGTTGGCGGCCAGGTGGTCAACAACTATAAGCAAGCGCTCCGTAACACGGCACCTAACACGCGGATTACGCCTAAGCCAAGGTCACACTTTCGACGTTTTGTTGAGCGGCAGGAAAAAGTGTGGAAAGCCTCCCGTCCGCCATACTATATACACATGCACACCAAAAGCGAGCAAGACGTGCACACGTGACACACATGCCAGAACGCTAAACAGCTCTGGGCCAGTTTCTAGTCATAAAATGAAACTTCTGAATTCGAGCCAGCGTGGCTAGTGTCACGGAGCCATGGAGACGGGTGAAAGAGTTGTGATTAAAAGAGGAGAGCAGATTTGGGAGAGAAGGGCAAGGAGTTGCGATGGAGTGAAGAGAGGGGAGGGTACGGCAGGAAGGAGACCTTGAAAACCAAAACACGCGGGAAGAAGGCAGGTCGGGTTTTAGGGGCTTCAGGTCAAGTAGCTTGCTTGAAAGGTACACGAAACGGGCGACTCGCGCCTAGAAAAAATTTGAAAGAGTGCCTGCGCACGCTGAGGTCAAAGAATCATTTTGTTGGGCCGGCGGGTTTGTGTGTCCTCACCGACTTCGACAATTCGCGATTCGTTCAGCGCAACAGCCGTTTTTTACGCTTCCCCTCGCGTGCGGAGGGCATGCTGAGCCAAGTGCAAAGTGAGCGAGAACAGACCCTAACACGAAACAAATCACGAATTATCAGAGTTGGGAGGGGGGGGGGGTGTAGCGTACGCGTGTGGACTAGAATGATACGATGAGACAAGACGCAGACGATCGGATACAGTCGGTGGCCGACCACCCTGGCAAATGGTCGGGTCACTTCAGGCCGTCGACGCCAATGACAGTACCAGTGATCAAAACTGTGGGGAGACTATAGTTGTCTGACCGTACTTTGAAAGATCGGTGGTATAGTGTGAAAACACGGGCCGCAGAGTAGCGGGGGGAAGGGGGGGGGGGACAAAGGACAAAGGCGTGCGTAACAAAAAGGGGTTGGGAAGAGCGCAACTAGAGGGGCGCAGAGGCAGGGTCGGTGTTTAACAATAAGAATCTATGGGTATCTCTTCGATGCCTGATCAGTGGTCAAAAGGGGTTGCCTGGGAAGTCGGCAGAGCGCCGTCTCCGTTCGCTGTAACCGATCGGCAGCGTTAAAGATGTTCGTTGTAAGTGCGATTTTGTGCCATTGAAACAATGTGTATTTTCACGGTCACACTGATATTGTTTGTTTTAAGCGAAAGTTCATTTTAAGTGGGGTCGTCATATGTGGGCTCGACTGTATTAACCGCTTAACTGCTTTGGACGAGCAGCGCTCATCCTGCCCAAACTGTCACCGAACTGCTTTGGAGGAGTAGAACTCATCCTAGTGGAATAGGTACTCCCCTCTAGCGTTTAGGCGAAAAAGCATGCATTTACGGGTTACATTGTGCGTCATCTGCTAGATGCCAACATTTTCTCGGGGATTTAGTTTTGTCCTGCTGCAAGAGCGTGGTTTTTGTATGAAAAGACGGTGCACGGTGGCGGCAAGCTATGCATAGCTGGCCCGTGAACACTAAAACAAACTATTCGTTTTCGTCATCTTCGAGGGATGATGGTTCGAGTACAGATATTGTCTTGTGTCCGGAAGTGAAGACAACCATGACAGTGAATGAGCAGCTCCTCCAGTGATGATGAAGACAGCGCGGACGGGAAGATTGCGAGTGCCCACCAGAGAAGGCACTTTGCGTTATTTCTTGTTTTCAAATTTTCCGCATATTCCCGAAGCTTTCCGAGTGAAGTACCTCAAGGGTGCTTAGCCTACGCAAGGGAAGAAAGATGTGGCGTCAGTAACTGTTTTGTTTTGAAGGTTTTTAATTTTATTATCAGCAGGTAGCTTATTTCCTATGTGTTGTTCAGAAATAAGCTTTAGTCCGTTCATTTGGCTAAGTATGTGGTGTTTTTTACACATCGACTAGCTGCTCTTTAGTACGATCAGAATCGAAATCAGCAATAAAAAAAATAGGCACTTTATTACTGGAAATTTTCAAAAGAAATGAGCAGTTAAGGGGTCAATGGCTCATATTGCTCCACATTAACTGTGTAATGCAAATAACCACCTGGAAAGTCTGTATGAAATATATGAACGAACAAGGAAAGTTGTAATAGGTGAAGTTTTAAAATACTCAGCTCATACCTATCACTTATTTTAAGTTCATAATAATTATATACTAAATATTACGTTTTAAAGGAGACATTTGCACTCTTCACATGTTAAGAAATTTGTGAGAAAAATTTGATCCTGATTTGGTCACTAAAAGTACGAAAACATGATGTCCAAACTCAAGAAGTTGCCCCAAATTCCATTTTGAGATTGAACTCTAATGTCTTCATAGTTCTATTAGTATTCCTTTTGTAAATAGCCTG